TCTCTCTTCCTCTCTCTCTTCCTCTCTCTCTTCCTCTCTCTCTTCCTCTCTCTCTTCCTCTCTCTCTTCCTCTCTCTCTTCCTCTCTCGAATATAAATGCATAATTTTAGGACGGATCGGTTTACGAGCTGAGATACTCCATGAATGTGATTAAGTTCAATGGCATACAAATTATTACACTGCGCCAATTTTGTAGGTCACTGTTTATAATTTGATTGGTGGGAAATGAATTCATTGGCATTATTGCTTGCTTGTCATTATCGAATACTTAGGAATGTAGTAATGAAGCACTGAGAATGGAATAATTTTAATGGATTGGAAATCGACAATGGCTAGCGGTCGAGTGAGATAACTGCTGTAGGAACAGGATAGATAAATCAGCAGATAAAATTTCCAAAAGCAACTCGAACTATCCTTACCAAATTCATCGAATATTTTTATATTTGTCAATTTTATTAGAAATGAAGGGAAATCACCTTCATGAAACGAAATTTGAAAAAATTTTAGACGCAAAAATTTTCCAGAAAAACTAAAAAAAAAGTAGGAAACTTGAACTTTTTTCAATTTTTTGAATTCTAAAACTGTTTTTCTTTATTTTTCATTCCTTACAAAAGATATCAGGTGTTGTACTTATTTATTAATAACGGAAAATAAATGTGTAGCAACTGCCAGCTATGCTAACAAACTCTTCTATCCGTGCTTCTTCACATTTTCTTTAGTTTCGTTCGTGATCCCAGTCTGGTTTATAATATCAAATCGAAAGTTGATGACCTTGACATTTGATCACATTAAATGTTTCTCTGTCAAGCTACTGCAACAGCATTGCCCACTTTCTTGTTTCTCTTTTTCCTTTTAGATTACGGTTAATTTGATTTCAAGGCTTTGTTTAGCTTTCTCCTACTATTATTCTGATTATTAGTTTGATTGATGATCCGAAATCTTCGTCTCAAAAAAAGAGAGAGTCTCTGCTTAATTGGTCATTTTCGTGCTTCATACTTCTCTTCTCCCAACAATTCATGATCGATGACCTTGTTGTGGCTATGCGCTAATAGTACCTCAATCCTGCACTGACACATTAATGCAACAAATCGGGAAGTTCAAGGGAAATTCAAGGGAGAAGATGAGAAGATAAGCGTTACTGGTCGATTGCGCACCAGTCAAACCATCAATTTGTTTATTTAATTCCCGCCAACTCATTAATTATATTTCGGCACTTCAGTAAAGAAGCAGAATTGAAACTCTGATCTAACCAGCACTTCGGAGTAACAAATAGCATGTGAAAAAAAATGGAACAGTATAGTCATTAATCCAATTAACAGATTCAACCTGAACATCACTGTACTACGACTTCATTTAGGCCAAGAAGCTGCTACCAGATTTTGCGATGAACAGCCAAGAATATAACAAAAGTAGATGGAAAGGTTAATCGGTTAATACGTCGGGAGTGGATGTATTATCGGTGGTTTTACTGTTCAGAATGCCGAGACAATACTAATCTTCAGATTTAAATTCAGTTTATTACAAGTATATCCCGCCAGCCATTGAGCTGGATTGATATTCAGAGCTCAGGAACTACTCTCGACTATTTCTGCATTAGTTGAAACATATAGACATCCAAAAGAAAGACTTTGCTATTCCATAAACTCTATTTGTAAACTTAGAATCACAAACTTTTCCTGTCAATAACTTACACGGATTTATATATTTTTTTGCATTCAAAAAACATATGGACAGTTGCAGAAGAGAACAGTAATTTTGGATCATTACTGCTTTTCAAATAATTAACTATTTAGATTTCATAAATTAATAGCCTGAAGAGACTAACCATTTGTTCGATCGCGATCTTGCTTTTTGATTCGAAAACGATTAGCGATGGATGAAGAGATACTTGCCGAATCATATTCACCTGACTGTTGCCGCCTTTCCCAGGCTTCTTTACCTATTGCTCGTTCAGCCCATCGTTGTTGCTCCAACTCTTTGTCATCTTCGATTGCCGTTATTTCTTCGATTTCGCTGATATCAACAATTCAGTTATTTCAATTCAAATGAAATGTAAATCAGCAGAACTGTCTAATTTCTCAGTGAGAACTCACTACTTAATTCATATTTCATTTAAATATCTGTCTTTGATTCTAGCGAGACTAGACAAAAAACTCGCCTGCATGGATCGCTTAAAAGAATTCGTGATACTAACCATTATACTGTTCTGCCTCAATCATGACTAGTTAGACTGTTTCATCGTTATCGATTATCAGACATATCCCAGTTGGTTGTACGCATAAAGAAGTCTAAGACAAACCTTGGAAGCGGTTCACTTGGTGGACTAGCACTTCTGCTAGCCTCCTTAATAGATTTCAGAGCGGGTAATCGTTCATCTAACTTGATATACATCGATTCAGCGTACGCATGAAAGCAGCAACGTACGAGAGCATTTGCCGCTTTTGCGTTTGTACATATAAACGCATGACATTCTAGAACCTGAAATTTAAATCGGACTTAATTTAATTCATTTTTCTATGCGAAATTTGATATTTAAATGTTGCTGATTTTAAGCTTTTCGTATTTAGTTAAAAAATTCACAAACAAATCTAATTATAAATACTTAACGATGTGTCTATTAAAAGACCTTTCATTAAATCCAAAATGATTGCGAGCTGTCACGATTGGTCCAAATAGAATGGAAAGCAACTTAATAATATTAATCCTTGCCTCATATTCTCATTTTGATCTAACTTTTGAATATTCGAAGAAATTTTTCCATATGACATTTGTCATAAAATTTGTCAAAATCATTATTTGTCATTTAAATTGCACTTTGACAGATCTAAAAATGCAAAGTCTGTGTAATTATATGCAGCATTTGTAAGTAAATTTTTAATTAACGATTCATCTTATTGCTTGTTTCTGTTTGCTACCAGCTAATTAGCTATCTCCTAACATTCAATACGGTTTTTTTTAAAGTCAGAACAAAGTTACATTTTTTTGGGATAAGAATCTTTTTTCCTCCAAAAAAAACCTTAATTCCAGTGGTTCTCCTGAAAATAGCAGCGAAAATTGGTGGATGTTGACTGTCATCACCACTTGCAAACGGTGAATCCAAGGGGAGAAATCGTTCTCCGCCTCCTTCGATTGCATATCCGGTCACGTTCACATATCGAACTGCTGCACAGTAGTGAAGGGAATTAATCGGATGAAAGGCTGTCTCAGTTCTTTTATCGCCATCGATGTATTCCAGCAACAAACCATTCGACCATACTGACAACCTAAAGTGTTTCTTTGATAATTAACAAAATATTTGTATTCACACTTTTAAAACATTAAATCCTTATGCTTCCAAATTAGTAAATTCTCTTTTTTGAATCGCGAAAATCATTGATCAAACCGTTAAATGATTAAATTTTGTTTGTTTACCGATAAGGCTTTTTATATCTTAAGGATATAAAAGAGTTAAAGTTAAGAATGGTGGGTACTGCTAAAAAAGCTTCTAAGAATTTCATATTTTTTGGAAATTTGAAAATTTGAAAATGGAGTAAAGATCATTCTGACAATACAATACGTAGATTTCACCGGTCATTAACGTCTATGAAATATAAGTTGACAGATAAAACGAGCATACAAACCAGGAATCAATTCCCTTTGTATCAGCATTACCACCAATCGGATAACGTTCACGTAACGGTTGTTGAATTCCCTGTAGTCCATCTTTGGTTATTGTTGGTACAGCACTACCAATATAAAGCACTCGACATCGGCAGAATGGTACTGCCACCATAGCAAAGGGTGGAGACCTATTAAAATTAAAATTAAAGTACATAATTTAAGAATTATGAGTCGTCGAGAAACGCGCTAATTAATCGATGATTCCAGTATGAGACAAACTGATCAGTTTGTTGATGTAATTAATAGCAAATGTATGATATTTTCGTGCAAGCCTACAGAAATCAAAACTGCAATTGAATTCACGACGATGATTAATGCTGATCAAAAGCAGATCCTAATAGTTAAGTGAATCAATCATCTTTTAAACATTTAACATCGAATATGAATCGGTCATCTTCAGACTATTCAACTGATCAAGTTATGGTTTCCTATAATCACGATTAGAAACTCTAACAACGCAAAGAGATTGTTTACATGTTGATATTATAAGACGGATAGATTTGTGAATGAATTTTATGAATGATATAATAATAATAATAATAATAACAATAATAATCATAAATTTTTTTCTTAATTCATAACATTAATTGAAAACAGTGCAACATAATTACGTCTTCTTCCTGAGTATTAATATTGTGTATAGTAGTAGTAGTAGTTAAGTCCGCGTATCAATTCCCGAGAAAAAGTGGTACGAATAGTTAATGAAATTGAAATGGATAGGAGGAGAAAGGAAAAGATAAAAAAGGATGGAAGGAGGGAAGAAAGGAAAGATGCTAAATGTATAGAGACGAAGAAAAAGAGAAGATTGGAATGATATGACTTATATAGGTCAAGAACGAATGAATGAATGAAGAAATACTCAATTGTTGATGTGGGAAATATCGGATGATCATTTGTGTAGTAATTGTGATTGCTACTAATACCAACAGTACTTGTAATTTGTTCTAAAAATTTTTTCCGTTGTGTTTTATTATTCTGTGCAAAATTAATCTTTTATAATCCACCAAAACATTCTCATGTCAGCTATTAACATCCACTTGCGATAGCAATACTTTTAATTATGAAAATTTGCATTATTATATTGTTATAGTTGAGGATTGACCTTTAACAGCGAAATATATTGAATATAGAAGACCTGATCAAAAATTTTTGAAATTTCAATGTATTTCTATCAAGATATCATTATCTTATGACAACGTGACTAACATTTCTCATGATCAAATAGTAGTGTGTATATATAAAGTGTATATATCTGTACAGGCAGATGTATGCCAGAAGTTTGGGTAAGCCAAAAAAAGTACTCTCACAGATTTATCTGATTGGCTAAGAGCTGATTAGTGGCATAATGATTTCTTTTCCATATGTGCATCATTATCACCGTAACCAGGCTCAGTGCACCAAATGTTTAAATGACGATTACAATGATGATGATGATGATTGTAATCCCGGCGATAGATAGCATAGATTATGTATCGGGTACAGGTGTTATACTCACGGAATTAAAAATATCATCATGAAATACATGAAAGAAGAAATCAATTAAAGAATTGAGGAGCTGTTTACGGGAAGAAGTTGCCACCGGGAGTCATTTGATTTGAAGGAAGATACACATTGCATGTCTGTGTGTATGTGTGTGTGTGTGTGTGTGTGTGTGTGTATGTGTGATGACAGTCACATAGCAATCATGCTTTTGTCACAGGAGAAATTAGAAGAACAGGATTTGTATGTAAAATGGCCTCCAAATCATTCCTAATTCTCAATTGTTTTATTGAAATGATTGTTTTTAATGTGGGCTTATATTTCACGGGTTGTTAACAGGGAAAGCATTAGTCTCAATGAAGCGAATGATATTTACAAAACTAATTTTGAGAGGAAACGTTTACGCGTTGTTACTTTCACTTCTACTATCTCTTTTGCTCCAATTTACATGCTTTAAAATCAAGAAATCAGTGAATTTTGCTATGAATACTATCGCTTTTTATTGATATTATTATCTTGGAAACTCAATTCTAAAAAATTTCCACATCATATATTTTCAGCAAAGTCCTAAAATAAACGCCTCATGTCCTACGGCTCTAACAACACGAATAACTAATACCTAACGCCGTTATGTTAACGCGAACACGAAAATATCATGCCATATGACTGATATTCGACAAACATAGTTATTGATATTTGAAAAATATTTAATTAATGACAAAGTAAGGAATGAGAAAGATAGGAAGAAGTAAGGAATGAGAACGAAATGAGCAAAAAGAGCACATTCGATTGATATAAGTGATGGGACCGGTTTTAAAAAAACATTGCTGGAGCGCATTTAATACCGAATATTAATAACAAGTTTACGATAATATCGCTTACTAATACATAGTGGCAATGATAATAGCTATAATAATAGTGATAATAACAATAACGATATTAACAACTTCGATACAGTGGAATAACATCATATTCTTATCATTGTTATCATTATACTTATCATCAATAAGTATCAAACATGTTACTATTATCACCATTCTTTTATCAATACTACTATTACTGATTACTGTAGTCACTATAAGTTTTATTTATTTATACAGAAATGGCAGTTTATCTAAGGAGGATCCTTGTCAAAGGTCACGGTCGGAGAGAGAAAAGCAAAAGTGACAAAAACGCTCTTCGCAAATTTATTGCAACAAAAATATAAATTTGTTGCAATGGGAAATTAATTTTGTCCTTTTTTAGAAAAGTAATTTCAACTCCTTTTCATTTTCGAGAAATGAAAATACAAAACAGGCAAATATCACCTCTGAATGAAAAGCTCCGTAAACAGAAGGAGAGATTGAAATTACTGGTAAGTTACTAATAATCGTTATCCAAATAAATTAGTCATCATTTGGATAAATAAAAATAGTTATTGGATGAAAGAGTTGCAGGACAGTTTGATGATTGTTTATCATTGTTATCTTTTTTGAGATTTAGTGATTGAATTCAACAGAATTGTACTAATATTACACCTCTCTTTTAATTTTTATAAATTAAACATATGGATAAATATCACTGAGATTATTGATGGAATTAATTAGCACAATTGTTAGCATTCTACTGAATTGAACAATTTAGTACGCTGCTAGTAATGAAGACATAACTGTAGCAGAAAGGCTAAAAGTAAATTACTTGCACAGTTGTTGCCGCTGATGTTTCTTACGATAATCATGAAGAGAATTAGCAACTAGCAGCAAATGATGTGACCTTTCAAAAAAGATTCAAGTTAAAAAATGAATGAATGGTTGAATATAAAGTCATGAATCTCTTGAGAACAATAATAAATGACTTGTCATTCTTCAGTCACCACTAAAGACCGCAAAATTTCGATAATACTCTTGCATAGTCCCTCAAATTAATAGCGTATCAGAAATTTGAGAAAAACCTCACTTCAAGAAAGTGTTTGAATTTTCATAGCAAAATTTAGAAGGAAGTGCTAAATTTAAAATAAATGCTAAAATTTCTTAAATTTCAATTGGGAGTTCATCTTGTTAGAAAAATATAAAAATGAGTGTATATCAGTCTCAGATGAAAGTACTTTCACTGTAATGTGAAATATATTTTAGGTTAAATCTAACAAATAACATTTTTAAAGTAAACATATTGGTAACAACAATTTCACATTAAAAATAACAATCATCAATCAGAGATATTGAAAGACAAAGTAGTTTGTAAAAATTACAAATTTTTTCCAAAATTTTTTAATTTTAAGAAAGATAAAGAAGAGAGGATGGAAAATTATAATTTTGAACTTGTCAAATCTACCTACATAGACTTTTCGTTTTTCTTCATATGCAAAATACATAATGAAAGAATTATTAAAGGCAAAGTCCTTGAAAAAGAACATTATCTGAGAGATGATTGAAATGAAATAGTAAAGGAGAAAAATCGGAAGAAATTTTCATTCAGATTTTTAAAATATTTTCCCATAAGATATTGCGGCCGTTGCTCCTGGCAATAAAGGCTCTATTTTATTATATTTTTCCATGAAATGGGACATTTGAAAACAATTTCACGGATCATTTCAGCCCGGTGGAATTAGTTAACAATAGAAACATTTATATGTGAGTGTGTGTATGTCATAAGAACGGATTAATTTATATTAAATTTTCAACTCATGATGCTAAGTGAGACTTGTCGTAATATAGAAATGAGTAATACGATGTGAATAAAGTTAAAATAAATAAGTTAGGATATTTGACTAGTGGACACAATGCTCAGCCAGTGATCGGAAATCTTATTAGATGAGATCGTTTAATATCACAATAATATTTTTCTTCCAAAAGTCTCGGACATTTCAATAATGTTTTCCAAAAAAAAAAAAAAACGATGAATTTTTATTATATTTCCTCAGAACGCAACTATAAACATTAATAATTTTATAAAAATTTGAAACCAAAAACAATTAATGAAAATAATGAAGCACCATTGTAATAGAAGACTTCCGCTATATTCCCGTATTTAAGAATTCAGACACGTCATCTGAACTCAGTTTTTATTCGATTAAAAATTAATCTTATCTTTTTGACGCATTGTATTTGAATCGTTTTGACTGTCACAACTATTCATTCCATTACGGTAAATTTTTACAAAGATTTGATTATTAAAAGTTGCACTCTTCTGCTTCGTTTCTAAGCATCGTGAGAAAATCAAATCGTTTTTTTGACAAAAAGAAATTAAACTTTCCTTCGACAAACGAGGTCAACCATCTTTCTGACAAGAAGTCAAACAAAATTCCTTCCGACAAGATATTAATGTCACATCTATGAAGGGTTATGAGCAGTAAATAATACAGTTTAGTTTCTCTTTGTCTATTTCTTCATACCCCCAAAAGTAGTATATTGTGATGGTTAGGATATAAGTGACAAGCAATCTGATAGTTTGCTATACTTGACAACATAAAATTTCTTCCTGTAGATGACACAACTATCATCTTATCACTAGCTTATAGTAATGAAAATTTTTTCTATAATGCATTACAAAGTATTTAGTAATGTCACATGTCCTATATTGACTTTTACATCAGAGGAAACAATTAAAAAAGAATCATTACAGCTTTCTAATAAATCATAATAAGAATAATGCAAA